CCCCCCCCCCCCCCTCACTTTGAAGGAAGCCAAAACTAACATCTGCTGCTGGTTGTGTTGTTCCCATTCCTTCTCTTTTATCCCTTTTACCCCCACATTTGCTATAACGGGATGCAGAAAAGTGAGAATGAATTTATAGTTGAATATTTCACTTGTTAAAAAATATGATGAAAACAATAACAAGATTAATCAACAAGTAGGTCAATACAGATATTCCGAGTGACTATTGGGAGGATATAACAATTAACAAGATTTTCGCACTTCTTGCTCACGTATATTTCTATCGATCTATGTAAAATTTTTGTTCCGCAGTGACTCACCAGTTTCAATTCTAACTTGAGATGCTGCATTAACAGAGAGTAAAATTGTTGAAAGCCACCAAGTAAATACGATTGGTTGCAGCAACTGCATGAGTTCAGTGCACTGGCATTGTCGCTTGTTATACGCTCGTTTGATCTCATATCTACGCCAAATATCACTGGCCATTTTCTACAGCGTTTTTAGATTGGTTTCTAAATTTGTTTGCGTTATATTTATATTAATTTAGCAAATAACGTATTCCACTGATGCTTTTTTTTCTCTATGGTCATCAATATCAATAATATACACTCCGTCTAACACATCCATCACACCCTAACAACGCTAGCTTGACGTTTTTCACCTTTCATCATTGAACCAACTCCATAAAAACATGTTTCTTCCACAAAACTTTGACTATTATATTGCTCTACATTTGAATGCTTCAATGTGCTATTTGACAAATGACAGATATCATCTCAAATCAGTCAAATAAATGTCTCAGATAACCGATAGTGGTGTCTACTAATGGGACACAAACGGAACAAATGATCACAGACGACGATACAGGCTATATACTACTACTCATGTACAGTATGTACAGGCTTTTGAGATACATTTACGTATATATTCATTCGCACAAACACAACGTAGCAGTGCTCCTGCTCTCCTCTAGTTGCTCCTCCCACCGCCACCACATTAATGTAAATATGATGTCATATCGTACCAGCTACATTAATTGTTATAAATTGACAATAAATTTGTCCAAAAAAATCCGTAGATTGAAAATTACAGAAAATTAAAAAAAAAGGCTATACATTGTTTTGCTACATTTCCAAGCCAATTATTATTTATTATTTAGCATTATTGCTAATGCCCCATTACAGTTGCAGACACGCACAAACACACACAATACCCAAAAATCTTTTCTCTCCATGGCTACTAATAAACAAAAATGTACTTCTCTTTTCTTGTTGAGTATAACGGAGGTAAACATGCAAAAGGTGGAATAAAAAAACTCAAATTCCATTATGCGATATTGAAAAAATATTTTGAAAAATGGACAATTTTGTGCAGTCAATTATCCAGAATTGCGAAAAGAGAGGTCTAACTGTTTCAAAAGATATGGTTATTTTCCTTGTGAGTATGAAAAATGACAGATGAATATATTTATCATAGCCATATATTATGAAGTGGAACCTTCTCATATACATATATAGATAGATCTACATAAATTGAATCCTGAATGTATTACAATGGAACAGAATAATGTGAAAAGTGTAAATAAAATTATTCGCATTATAACAGAAAAACTAACATCACAAAATCGTCCAAGCTTGATTACACTCAAGATGCAATTGTACTTTATGAAGCATTATGGAACCAGAGGTAAATGCTCAATACACATACCACTATATGATTTTATTATAATTAATAAAAAATGGTCTATATATTACAGCTGCTATAATAAAAAAGCACAGACAAAGACTTGAAAGAAAAAGTCAATGGCTGGTTAATGAAATATGTGATGTAAAAAGAATTATTACTGAGAGAGACAGTGAAAAACTTTATGAAAAAATTATCGTTATTATAACATTAGTAAGCCGCCTAGGAAACGCCATGGATACTTCAGTATTTAGAGAAACATCAGTTGCTCTGCAGAGTGTATATGGGCAGATGGAGCTTAATCATTTTGTTACTTTATCATCAGCAGAAAAAAAATCTAAATTAGCCCAACTCGTTAAGATTGTTGCAGGAATAAGATTATTCAATAAGGATTGTCATAGAGGTGGAGCAGGCATTGATGACTGCAAGTAATTTTTATTTACTATTTTATCCATTAAATAATCATAATAATAATAATAATAATAATAATAATAATAATAACAATGATAATAATAGTCATGTTATTGAAATTTTTCAGTACCGCAAATATTACACGAAGCAATTGAAAAATCTCATCAATCTATTCTTGATTTTTTACAAAATATCATGAAAAAAGTCTATCAATTTACAGCTGGAATTGAAACCATCGTATTTACATGTTCATCATCACCGAAATCATCACTTCTTAATAATAATAATATTAATAATCCAACAGATTATGCTTGTTGGGCAATTGAAATGTTGACAGCATATAGACAACAAGAAATTTTCATTAGGTGAATCGAATAACTTTCCAAGTACATATTTATGGCGAATGATAAATGATAGGATAATATATTATGTATTGATGTAATTTTAGAAAACTCCTGGCAAATGTTGAATTTAGTGAGAATCAAATGAAATCATTCGTGGTACGCTTCAAGTCTCGCCTATTGAAAATTCACGCCACTGTTAGATACCGCACAGCAATCCCAACAATTCAGATTTATGTAAGTTTTGTTTTATTTTCAATAAATACAAAATAATAATAATAATAATAATAATATCCAATACAATTAGTTATCATTTTTCTTTTCTATTCCATTACAGCCACAATTTATTGACTTGGCAGACATCTGGCTTAGTCTACAAAGTGAAGTTATAATTCTCAGTCATATAAATAATCTAGCATGCCAAATCAAAGCTCTAGCCATGAAAGTAATCGAAATAAAATTCATTAGTCTAATTAATATCGAGCAATATTCTATTATAATTATTTATAATATCATCAAAATAATTACATCATTTATTTAGAATTTTCATACTCACGACACTATAAATCAATTGGAAATTGATCGATTCACGAGAAGCACAAATATTCCATCTGACGCAGAGAGATTAGAAAGGTCCATGGGAAAATTAATAAGTACGTATTAGTTTTATCGTTCCTCATTTTAGGCGACAAATCGACGAATAATCCTTGTAAATTTTCATTCACCTTGTTCATTAGCTGAATGCGGAGAGTGTTTGATATATTATCCAAATAGTACGAAAAACTTTGAAAAAATTCAACTCGAGGTAGGCTCTCTCT